TGAGTTGCCTTAAACACCAGTGCCTGGAGCTTTAAATGGGCTGCTATTGTATGCATTGCACTGTGAAATATTACAGCACATCATTTGAGTGCCAAGTGTTTCAGCAAGGCTTTAAATATCTTTAAGGGGATTTTTTAGAGGATGGTGGTTCTTTATTGAGGAAACACCTGTTACCCACATTTTACTGATAGGGCAGAAATTATGCTGTTTGCAGAGAGTTTGGGCAATAAAGTGCCTGACTTGATTCCTGCAAGCCTTAGTCATGTGCCATAACTCCTGTTCAGCCTTCCTTGGGGGCCATGTAGAAGAACATAGGTGATCTTTGGAGGCAGGTTGCAGGGTGATGAATAACTGGTGTATCAGAACAGAACACTACCCAGACAAATGAGGTGAGAAGAATGGGACAGTTTTTGTGTAGTGTTGTAGAATGCTGCTTTTAATGTTTTCAGTAGATCTTTTCCATGAACATGGTGCAAAGGGCCAGACCCGTGGCTCTGTCCCTCCTATGAGGGAAACTTGAGAGAGGCAGACATAAGGTCACAGGGGAGGCTGCACTCTGAGCTGGTCCTCAGGGCTGGAGAAACCTTTCCAATTAATTCCCTGATACTAAACCTGGGTTATATGCTGGAGAAATCTAAATTTGATGGCAGTCTGCTTTTCCTTGGATAGAGACAGTGGCACACAGTTGGAGCAGTGCATGTAGGTGGGTCTAGGTGTCCTTGCCCTTGGCATGCAGCAGTGCTCTCGTGTCTTCTGGAAGGTTATCAGCAGTCACATCACTGTCTGTCTTTCTGATTTCTTGAGACTTCAACACACAGTGATTATTTGCCAGTTGTGACAGCTTTGTAATATTTTGTCCTGACTGGCAGTCTGAGCAGATGCATTGTGTTGACTTCCTGAATCCAATTTGTAACAATAATGTTTTTCTCTTACTGTGTTTGTGGAACCAATTTGACTACTTTCCCTTCCCCATCTCGTTCTACAAGGGCACCCCTAACCCTAATCCTAACCTTAACCCCTAACCCAAACCCCTAAACCCTAACCCTAACCCCACACGCCACCAATTGTCTTCTGTTTGCCTACTAACACTGCCTGAAATCCCAGTGTTTTGGGAATAGATTTGTGTGAGATGACTAAAGGCACTAAAAGTCATTTATGAGATTGACTATTGAGAATCTTGGGTGGCTTTTCCACAGGAGACGAAAGCCCAAATGTAAAATTTCCTAAGCTGCTTGATTTATTTGATTCACTTCCTCTGTTTCTTCAATTTCAAAGCCATTTAGGAAGTTCATTTGCATAAACATTTAAGTTCTCTTTAACTAAAGTCAACCAATATGTTTTTTTCAGTGAGCTGGAGCTCATAAGAAAGATTCAAACATTAAATGTGTAAAGAAGGCAATTAGTGTTTGTACAATATATTGAAAATTAGCCTGAGGTACATTTGGAAAAATACATGTTTTACACATGTATATTTTTCATCCAATTCCATAGTTTATATTAGATCCTGGCATAGATAATTGTAGAGGCTACCAAATTAATTCAAACTGTGGAAGAGGTTGTGATTGTCTATAAAAAGAGTTTTTTAAGTATAATGTAGTTGGTCTAACTCTGTATATTTAATCAGTCAAAGGAAAAGCCTTTTCTCCTGCTGTAGTATGTCAAGGAAGCTTATCTGCATGTAAACAGCTAAATGAGACCTCTCTTTGTGTTGCAGAGGTTGAATTTCTGTGGTTTAAAAGTTGAGCATTTCTAAAAATGCACTAATGATGTCATCCTGATAAACGGAGATACCCCATCTCACTTTGTCATGGAGCGATACTTTCCATAGGTTTTAAAGCTGTCAGTGGAGTAGGAAAAAGCTGTCATAGTCATAGGAATCAGTGGAAAAGTTTCATTTTAATAATTGTGGGCGGATCCAGTTGCAGAGAGCAACTGTCATGCTATCTGCATTAAAGATTGTGCATCCATTATCTGGGGTGTTTGGGCTACAGTTTGATAGGAATTCAGGTCAAGAGAAGGACCATTTTCTTAAATGGGGAGAAACAGGAGTTTATACTCTGTTGGATGAATATAGTACTAGTTAAACACTTAGGAGTATTTTCTGAAAATACAAGTATAGCCATAGTCTATTAGGGAAAATACTAATTTTTCTTGCTGTACTAATTTGGGATTTGATTCTAATAGGACAGAGCACAAAGCAAAAGAAATTGTGAGACTCCAGTGCTGTAATGGGCATAAATGTACTTTCTGCAGTTGATTATGTTAAAGTATTTATTGTTTATATGAATTACTGTGGTGTATATAGAGCAGAACCTTTCAGGAAGACAAACTTAAACTTTTGTTTGTTTCTACAAGAGAATTCACTGGAGTGAAAGTCCATATGGGATCTTGGATGCAGGAGTACAACGACTTGCCTTAACATGTAGGAGAGAGCATATGGTTTTGGTAATAGGTTAATAAGAGCAATTAACCTTATAGTGCACTCATTTGCTGGCCTCAGTTGTTTATAAACTAGGTAATAAAAATATTTTAACATCCTATAGCTTTATGAGAGATTAGTGAAATCAGGCTGTATTTTTGAACTTTAAATGCCAACAGCACTCAGGTGATAGTGTAAGTGATAGAAACATAAAATTAGCAGAGAATAAAAGATTCAGAGTACTCTGTGGTGTGTCTAACTGAGGGATATTGCAAATGTCTAAATACATGGAATGGTGTGGGGAAATAGAAACGTGTTGAAGGTTTTCATTAGAAGAGGGACTGTTTTCACAGGATGCAGTCACAGATCTGTCATTCAGCTTGTTCTTGTCACCTTGCAAAGGCTATCACATAAACTGTTTCCAGGCTTAATTAACATTAAAAAGAATTTCAGACTTACCTTCTTCTTCTTGAGGATGAACCTCATAATAGAAAAGATTAAAAGAACAGCGAGCACTGTCTCTGTCTTTGGTTTTTTGGTTTGTTTTGAAGGACTTCTAGAAGTTCAGGCACCTCCTGCACAAGTCCCAGTTTCTCAGTCAGGAGCTACTGTGTTTGCCTGGCAAACAGAGAAAGTGGGAACAAATGAGCAGGTTGTTGTTTGCCCCACAAGTTGCACCCACAAGAAAAACCCTTTTTACTTCATTCTCTGTGGCCCCTCACATCACAGGTGGTGTCATTTTGACATTGGTGCTTGTCCAGTTGGGCACCTTGCTGCGAAGGCAAAGTGACACCAAGGGTTGAATGATCTTTGTTTTGCAAGTGGTTTCTAGGCTGGTGGTGATGGGAGAAGGATGGTTTCCCCATAATAATAGTTTGGGTTTCTTTTTCATTCTATGAGTTTTCATTCTGTGAGTTTTGTCAGTCAGCTTTTTGGTCTCCTGCTTTTGTGCAGTATTTGTTTTGCAAACTTCTTCCTGTGTACTGACAGTGTTCCAAAAGATGCCTCTAAATCAGCTCATTTGTAGACTTCGTTTGAGCACCTAAAAGATGATATATTGTGGTTATTTTTCTGTCTTTCCTGGTTTACTCTGGTTACTTTTCTGGTTATTTGTCTGATTTTTACTTTATATGTTGGTTACAAACTATTTTATTAAGATTAGTTGGTTATAATCCTAGTGAGCTGTTGCTGCTTTTTCTTTATCCTGAATTTAAACATCAAGACAGTTTTTTTTTCTTTGAATTTTCTTCAGAGGCTTCTATGGAACCTTTCTGTACAAATTTGTGGTCTCATTTTTTTCTCTTTCATTGAATTGGCTGAACAATGTACTAGCTGGTGCAGCATTCAGCAAAGATGAGGACTCTTTTGCTTTATTAGACTTTACAGTGTTTAAACAATACTAATTCTCATACCCAGCTGGCTTTTCAATTGATTTCTGTGTTCTCTAGTGCTGTGTAAAACAAGATGTAACATTAATGGCATCTTGCATGCTACCCTCTGGAGACTTATTTTTCTTTAGAGAAAAATCAATTAAGTGTGTAAGTTTCTGGGTTTTCTCCTTATATTTTTTATTCTTTCATTTTAAAATATATTTTAGCGTGCTGTCAGATTTTATACATGTTAAGATGCTAATTTTCAAGCATGTAATTTTAAAAAGAAGTCTTCGTTTTATGGTGAGATTTGCCAGTTTGTTCATTTGTTTTTAGAAATAAATGTCTGTTTCTTCATCTAAACCAGAATATACCAGCTTGAAAAATACGTTCAAGATGTATGTAAATGTGCTGGTTAAACCCAGCTAAAATTTTGCATATTTAAAATGTGTTTGCTAAACAACCAAAGAACGTTTGCAGATGTTAGTCATTTGTTTTGCACCCTTGCTTTGAACAGTATTGAAGTATTCCTTGTGAGAGAGAGAGATAAAAAAACATTTTTCTATCCTGGAAACATAAATATTTAAGTCACACCTTTAGGCAAACCCAAGCCTTAAATATATGCTCCTGAAGAATGAATTATGTCTGCTCTGGAATAGCCATCTGTGATGGTCTCCAGCCATTGCTGATGTGGCCATTGTAGCACAAGTTTCTCCTTCCAGTCCTTCAGAGGCTACTTAATTTTATATAAATTTCAGTTCATTGTGAAATATCAACTTTCTAAAACCAAAATTTGATTCCTTGTCCACTCCACCTCCCCAAATAATCAGGTAGCCCTGCAGCTGGAATAAGGATTTGGGGTGCTCAGTGTGTTTGTTGTGGGTCAAATGAGGGCAATGACCTCTCATAAAGGACTGGCCAAAGTTGGGGAGTGGGGCTTGATATTTAACATCAAGAAGTCAGTGCTTTCTGAGGAAGACTTACAACATTCTTGGCTATGATATATTCTCTATATTCTCTATACCTTTCACTACTTGCATAGAAGCCAGGTGACCCTGTACAAAATGTGTGCCAGTAACTGCCACAAAACTCCATGTTGTGCATTACCAATTCACTTGGAAGCATTGTAGGGAATATTTTCTGAGTAAGGGATGTTTTGATATCACAGTGTTTCATTTAAGCAAATTTTTTTTTTATGTGATTCTCTCCAGCTGGTCTGAAAACCCAGAAGAATGGAAGTTTCAAAAGACAAGACAAACGTGGCTTCTCCTGCACATGTATGATAAAGAGAAGGTTTGTATTAAGGCTGCTCTTTTTTTCAGAACAAATATGATACAGTGTTATACATTAGTTACAGCTATTCTTTATTTACTAAAACTTGCTAGGACTGGCCATGCACCTGTCTAATAATTTTTTAACAATTTATAAATTTAAATTTAAATTTAAAAATTTGTTTTTAACCAAGATGCTGAATCATTTTAATTGCTTGTCATTGATATTTTTACTTTGTTGGTGATCATTCTCCTGTGTATGCTAGATTTTTATATTTGGTGTATGTCAAGCATAAACAGAGCAGATTCATGTTTTATTTAAACCTGGAGTTTCCTGAGAATTCAACTCATATCCATAATTTGAATTTCCTAATGTGGAACCCAGTACTGTAAACCATGATTCTCATATTGCTTCAGATAACTCTGGCTCCACAGAAGATGTACAGTCTTATTGCCAAGATGTTAAAATAGCTTTCTCATTAAAATATAAGTGAAACCTGATGTTGATTGTGCAAAACATAAAGTATAACCAGAAGCCAGGATTGCATCCATACTGAAATCCATTCATTTCATAACTGAAAAAACAACATAAATTGAATTTCCAATAAGCCTGACCATTGTGGTATCGAGTGGGAGTTTCAGGTCATTTATTTTGTTGTGTAATAGAACAAACATCTACCCATTTGCACAGTGCCTTATTTATTGATTCATTTCATTGACACTCAGTTAGGTTTTGCTGATGTTTTTGTGTGCACTTGAACATTTAGTCATGCCAGTCTTCCTGGTCCAAATTACTCAGCAGCTCTTAAGCCAATCACCTGACATAGGGTGTTACCTTTCTGCTTAAAAATACTTTTAGAGACCCAGATAATTAAAAGCAGAGCTTCATGAAGGCAAAAATGTTCATAGGGTGTAAATACATTAAAAAGATGAGTTGCGGAATACAAATTTGATGGTGGTTTCTAGGTTGTTTACTCTGTCTTCAGTTTTTAAGTTTCCCCTTTAAAAATCTTTATTGACCTTTCAAAATCAACATATGCTCTTCAGAGCTACCTAGAAATTGTTTGGCAGGCTGAACAATGTTTTTACTTTTTTACCTGTTTACCTTGGGGTTTTGTGTTGAATCACCCTGGGACACAATGAACCGTAAGCAACATTTGTTTTATGTATCAAAACACAGCTTAACCCCTTATTTTACAACATTGAAATGAAACTTCTTTTTTTTTTTTTTAAATCTGCTGAAAGTGCTGTGATTTATTTAAATTCACATATTTTGTAGTTTAATCATCAGAGAAGACTGAATATGAGCTTTAGAGAATGATGAACATCTGCGTCCAGATTCAGTAAAGGCAGTAGAACTGTTCAAGTGCTTATAATTAGGCATATGATGAAGTCTCTTTCTTCATCAGGACCATAGGGAGGGCACACCCAGCTTCTTTTGAATATTTTTTATACCCAAATTCAGCTTCCTGTCCATCGCAGAATAAAATCTGTTGGTAATCCAAGCATGACTAAAGTACAAAAAGAGACATAAGACATAAGTTTCTTTCCTTCCTAAGCCACATCTTTGATCTCATGGTGTCACTTGGATGCCTACTGAAAAGCCATGCAAAGCACTGAGCTGAGTTTCCTGCACGCCTCTTTCTGTAAGAAATAAGTTGAGGTTGTAAAGTTGTTTGCTCCATGAAGGTTTTTTAAAGTCCCTTTATTTTCCATCTGGTGGTTGGCTGAAAGCTCCCGAGCCGAGCCTGTGTACCTATGGTGTGTATACTTCTCCGGGATCCAGTATAAAACAAACACTAGGTCATTTGTTGATCTTTGTCATCTGGCACAGCATTTTCAGAAAGCCATAGATCAGCTGTGTTCAGCTTTGGGGCTGCAAGGCCTGGAGCTGAATTAAGCTCCCTTGGAAGGTCACCCAAAAGGCAGCGTGGTGGCAGAGAGCTCAGGTCCTCTGTGCTGGGATCTGTGTTTGCATTGCAAAATATGTGGGAATCTGCAAGTCTCTGAGTCTGGAAACTCGTGATTGCATAGTATGGATGTAAAGTGATAACTGGTCTTTTCCTGCTACTCTTCTGTAGTGTTTCCCTCCTTTTGCCGATGACAGGAATTATTTCACTTCAGGGTAGTTTCATTTTAATCAGCTCCAGTTAGCACAGAGGCAAGATCAGTGTGTGAGAGACAAAAAAAAAACAAGGAAAAGGTCAAAGTGGTTTAACAAAAGAATAATAATAAAATCACTTCCACTTCCAGAGCCGTGGTGGGAGATCTTGATCTCCAATTTCAAACCAGCCTAAAACTGATCTTAGAAGAGGGATTGTGTTCCTTCTTGGTAAACCTCGCCAGGAGCCCTGACATTGCCGCTTTTGTAATACTGTATTTGAGGAATTAAAATTTGGATTTCATTAAGTTTTTGCTGGCACTTTGTGTGTTCCAGTCCTTGCTATGGCTCTACTGCATGTGTAAGTCAGGAGGAAATATGATTTACCTTGCCTAAAGGGTGCTCTATTGTGAGCTCCTGCTGAAATAAACCTCAGAGCTGTGTTAAAGAAAAAAAATCAGCCTTTTTTGAACACTTAAGCACTTACCCTTAGGACCAAATGCTAAATGTTTTCTAGGCTTCAGGCAGCCACATGTCAGCCTGCCCAGTTAGTATTTCTAAGTTTAGAGTAGGTTTTCAATTGCCCCTTCAAGCATTTTGCTTAAATGATATAATAATAACTGTAGTTCCACAGGTATGTCTATGCCATGAGGCCTGAGAACAGGAGTAGTAAATTACAGAGATAATTTAACCAAGGTTTGAAACATGGAAATGAGCTTTAAAAGCTCAGTACTGAGTATCTGCATTAAAGGAGCACTGTCACACTGACATTGTTTGCATCGAGATGGTTTCTCTGTTGTTAGTACCAGCTTACTGTGAGTAAAAACTTCCAAAAATATAGACATTTTTCATTATGTTTAAATGTGTTTGATTTGTGTATTACAGCAACACTTCATATATCATCCATTTCAGGGTTAGTCTCTGTGAAATTAATATTTTTTTGTAACTGTATTGTTTCTTTAACGCAGGAGTGTTTGTGTGAAGAATTAGAAGGTTTTTCCATAGTGTACGAGGCCGAATGCAGACTTTAGTTTTGATTTATTGCTTTGTAATATGCCTGATTGATGAAGGCAGTGTTGGAATATTCTTTCTTCCTCTTCTTTTGGAGTGATAGAAGTTTTAGTGATCAAAGTTCTGCTGCCAAATGTCGATGGAGAAATAGGTTGTAAATTAAGTGTCTGTTGAAGCTCTGTCTTCTCTGAAATGTTGATACTTTGCAGAATTGAAACCGCCCTCGAATAATTAGCCTCCAATCCTTTAAATACTTACGTATGTGTTTAACTTGACTCAAGTCAAGTTATATGTGTAAAGTTAAACATGGAGAAAAATATTTGTGGGATGAGGTAATTTTAACATCCCCTGATTCACAGCAAAAAATATTCTGTTATTGGCTGAAACCCGTTCCACAGATACACAACGTGAAGTCAAGATAGCTTCACCTATTACTTTGGTTTGAAATACTGAATAAATCATTCCAATGTCTTTGCCAAGTTATTGCCAAGATTAAGGTAATGATCATTTAAACTGTATGTTCTACCAGATAAGCTAAAATTTAATCTGTGACTGGTTAATTAGAAAGGGAGGGAAACAGGGGTAACGCAACTGTAGATGACTGAAGTGCTTTTAATGTTGGACATGTTGGTTCAGCCTATCAGTTTTAGTCAGCGTGATTTAAAAATTATTTCCATATGTCTGAATTTCAATTTGTTTTTCAAATTAAGTTCTATTCCTTTGTATAAGCATTCTGTCAAAGTGCACGGTGGTGGGTGGTATCTCAAGTCAGCAAACAAGTAGTTTTTGGGTAGGGGCAAAGGTAATTTCAGCAAAATTCTTTCCTCGGGCACATTCATGCAATTCTCACCAAATTTAGCGAGATTCACATACGTGTTTCCAAAAGGAGGATTTGGCTGGTGTGTTTTGTTTTTTTCTTCCACCAACCCTCACAGCCTTGAGCTCCCTGTCAGGGAGTGTTTGCATTTGCTGATCAGCGTTTCCACATCTGCTTAGCATTTCCTCTCAGATGCTCTGCCCATCCGAGCACATGACAGTCGTCTCACCACGGTCCATCCCTCCTGGCAGCTTGTACCTTTCAAACATTTCCAGTTGGAGTTGGGCACTGGCAAACACCAAAGCCTGTGCCCGTCTCCTGATTGTCTTTCAGGTGATGCTGTGACATGATTGCGAATGAGTATCGAGAGGAAAGAAAATAAATCAGATTTTTCCTTCCTTGTTTTTCTTTTTTTTTTTTTTTTAAAGGTTCCAGACAAGTATTTCACCATTTTACTGGATTATCTGCAAGGCCTTCAGGGCGGGGCAAGAGACAAAACTGTGCAGAAAGCTGAAGCTTTTATGAAGGAATTTGATGGCTCTGATGGAGAAGACCCAAACGTGCTGGAGAAGTGTGAGCGCGTACGACAAGTTCTGCAGCTGCTGTCCTGAGAGTGTTTTTGTGTCTTAACGGTTGTCTGGTGGAGAGAAGGAGAGGATGTCATATACAGAGGCTATAAATGAGTTGTAAAGACATAATTTTCTAAAAAGAATCCTAATAATAAGTTTTGTACTCATAATTTTTTGCAATTGCAAATATTTATCATGTTTTGAGGTGATGAAATAAAAATAACATATATGGTCCATAGACTTGCTATTAATCTTACTGCATGTCATTAGGAAAATAAACCTCTCTCCCTCTCATTAGTTTTTTCTCCATCTGCCCCTGTAATTACTGTTAAATAAGAGGAACTTTACCGTTCTTAATAAGAAGAGCAAAGGAACCAACAAAAAGCCTGGAGGGTCTTTTACAATGGCAGCTTTTAAAATGAGTGTACAGTACAGTGCGTGCTCAGCCAGCTGTAATCTATCACTTTCAGCTTCAGAAGGATGTCACTTGGATTTGGGAAAGATCATTTTCAGTCTGTTGAACATGGGGTTGTATAACACAGTTGCTTATTAGTAGTTCACACGATTATCTGGAGATACCATCAGCTTTGCTAGTTTTCCTTTTATATTTTAAAGTTTTCAAAGGCATTAGGGCAATTGTTTAGATATTTAGATAATGCACAGATGGGAACAGATCAAATCCTTGCCTGTATGTGGTGAAATCATCAGATTGTACCTAAACTTGCCCTACAATGAGAAGTGCTGTGCTGTATCTGGCCTGACAGTATTGCATTTTCAGCTTTCTCTGGTAATTGGCATCCAAAACAGTTAATTCCTGTTCATTCATTTTGGTGTAGGACATTTGTCTCCTGTGAACGTGCTGAAAATGAGGCTTTCAAGTAAAAAGCAAGGACATTAATTACTCAAAAGTTGGATGATTGGCTTATTTAATAACACTGGTATTCAGACAGAGTTCTTGACCTGATTCTTTAATGTTTCTGCAAACACTGTTCATACTTTACTAATAACAACTATATGAAATGTGTAGTGTTTTAGAAGAGTGACTGTCTTTGGGAATTACAGCTTTAATTTGGATGGGTGAAGGAGGGGAGGATCTACAGATATGCAGACCTGATTTTTCAATAAGAAGCATTTGAGTGGATTTGACAGCCTTCACAGCCATGGATTAATACAAATCTTTAAAAGTACGAAATATATTACTAGTAACAAATAACTTACGCTTTCTGACTTCTTGAAGATGATGTTTTCAGTCAAAAAATACTAGAGACCATCATGCCCTGCTCTAGCACAATAACTGGGATGGGGTTTGGCACAACTTGGGAGTTGAGCAGAATTGAGCAGCAGTGTCCAGGTTCTCCAGTGAGCTGCTGGTGGTTCCTCAGGTGCTGTGGCAGCACCACAGGGCAGCACAGGAGGCAGAGCCAAAGCCTGTCTGAGGCCCAAAGCTTTATAACACTGATCTTCCCATGTGAAAGCTGGTAAAAAGTATCTGTAGTAAAAAGAAGCTGTCCTGACATTTAGTGAACTCATAAAGATCATTGGATCAAATATTTTACATGTGAGAATATGCAGCTGGGAAAAACTGCTGTCACTCCAAGCAGAGTCTGGTACTTTTTTCTTTCTGCTAGGAAAAAATAGGAATTTCTCATGGATGAAGTTTTCAAAGTGTCTTTTTGTGAGTTTTTTCAAGTCCATGTGATCAGTAGTATTTGGAAAAGAACAGTTAGAGCCTCTCACCAGCACAGTAATAGACCCCTGGCAGTGAGGTCCTCCTGCTCTACTCTCCTCTTCCTCAATTGCTATTCCAGCTTTCCCTTCCCCCCTGCCCATTGCTGGGTGAAGGACATGGCATTTGGCCTCTGCTTCTTGCAGTTATGGAAAATTCAGAAGCTACAAATGAAGGTAATTGTTGCTGTGATTCTGTTTGGCAGAGAAAGCAAGGCATGAGCTTTCTGCCACCTTCCTATTGGTGTAGGTGGTGTTCAAAGGTTATAGGAGGGTCTTGGAACTGGAGGAAAGGTTTGTTAAACTTCTGCTTGGTGGTGTTGCATGTGTTTTGTGTTTCAAAGTTCAATATGAAGGCATCTAAGAGTTGGCTTATACTTGATGCTGTAGTGTAAATAGGAAAGGACACTTTAGTGGCATTACACTTTTTGACTTTGCACCTTTTATCGAGGAATCTTTCACTGGTTGTCAAACAAGTCACCTTCAGAACAGCCATGAAGTGCAAAAGGATGCATATTTTTGGGAGACATGTATTGCTAGGCCCATTTAAAAGACAAGATTTTGAGGACCCAGGCAGCTTACAGTGTGCAAATGCTGGAGTGTCTCTGGCAAGCAAATTTTGCCTTTTCCATGTGCTAGTCACCAGACCAGCTTCTGCTTCCTTGCATTGTCTGATGCATAAGTATGGCAATATTTCCTCCGTGGTGCATTTTAAATTATTTATTTTAAATTATCAAGTGTATAATCATTTACTGAATTCCTGTAGCAGGTTGAAGCTGTATGGGAAGATACAATCTGGCACTTTATTCACTTTGTTTTGTCATTTGGTCATGTAGAATTTTCAAATCTCTGCATCACTTGTAGCCTAGGCAGTCCTATGGGTACAGATAGAACAAAATCATGTCTCTGCCTCTGTTTGAATCAGTCTACTGTGTTAAGAAAAAATTGCATCCAAGGCTAGAAGTAACAGTGTGTACAGAATGACAAATTACATCTCCATCTGCCTATGCTAATCGTCTTCTAGTTGAGTTAATCTGTATTGTGGAGCTCTGTTTAGCAGAATGAGTGTCCTAAGAGAATGCTGAAGTCAGGATTTCTAGGCAAAATAAAGGAACATTAATTACTTAGAATTGCTTAAAGCTGGAACTGTGCCTCTAATGGAAGTACTAATTACTCAAAATTTGACAGTGTAAAAAGTTCCCTTTAATTTGGCTGATCCTTGCTATGGGTTGTGTGTCTATTTGGTTCTCTGCTGTCTGCCCACAATTTTAATTTGTTATCACCATTGTAAAATAACTGGGTAAATGAACTCTCTGTTCCTATTTGGAAAGGGTGTCTCATAGTTGCTGAATGTGTAGTTTATTTCCTTATTTCCTTTCACTGGGGAATTGCTCTGGTGTGTTTCTCTTGATTTTAAAGCAAGGTGACTATTGACTCATCTCCATGAATTTCAAATAGCTTAGAAATTCTCGTCTTTAGTTTGATCTTGGGGGTTTTGTTTTTGTTGTGTGGGTTTTTTTAAACTTTACCACTGAATAAGGCAAAGTAACAATCGTTAAAATCTACTCACATTTCTGCAAATCAGTGTCAGAAACAACAATCATAAAAAGAGATTTAAGTTGCAAAGTCAAGCACTCAGAAAATGAGAAAATGTGAGAATGGAAATTGGTTGTGTAACTTAAATTTTACTCCTTCACACATATGTAGTATGAAGGAACTTCTTAATTATGTCATCAGGGCTGTGTTTCCCTTTGTGTGTAACTGACAAGTCATTTATTCAGTGTTTTCCTCGCAGTTCTGCTGCTGTTCTTATTTTCAAAATTTAGGTCTATGAAGCAATACTGAAGCCAGAGAAGTAGCTTTGCTGTGGGGCTTTGATCCTGCACAGAATAAATAAGTAGGAACTTTCCTATTCCTTTGGTGTAGGAACTAGTCATAGATGTTTCATCACAAATGTTCCCTTTAAAACATGTTTTAATGTTCTGATTCATTTACAGTCAAAATATTGAATTGATGTTACTTAATTTAAATCCAGTTTTGTTGACATAAAACTTTCCAGTGGCTTATTCTGGTTTAGCCCTTGGTTTCCTTTTATGTCTTCCTTTCTGTACAGCTGAATGAGCTTGTTATTTCTGTCCCTGCAAATAGGAATATTAGTTGTTTACAGTGATTCCAGTCATACAAGGACACAATTAAATGTCCTTGCCTTTGCAGGACAAGCTCATTTTAGCAGTGATTTATAATTATGCTCTATTTTAAATTCTTCATAAGAACATACAGAGTCAACAACCTAATGTGGTTTAAAATAGTAATTTTTTTTAAAATATGGGGTTTTTCCCCTACAAGGAGCAGGGGAATAGCAAACTAAATGAAACTAATGAGTAAATGGTGGGAGAAGGGCAAAGCAAAACAGTGGTTTATCTTTCTTTGTCAAAACAAAGCTGAATAAGAAGCTTGTGCTACTAAGAAACTTTAACTGGTGTTACAGGCACAGAGGGAGGGCCCTTTGGGTACAAACAGAGGAACTCTCATACAGTTGCTCTTACTAAATTTTTTTCCCTACATGCAGAAAATTTTTGGCATTCCCCAGCAAAACCCACGAAAACACCTACGTCAAAAAGTTAAATAGGTTTCAAAATCAAATACTTAAAGGTCAACAAATGCCACATGTATATAAATGGCCAGAAGAATTAAAATTCTACCTCTCTATGCCTCCTGCCTGGAGAGTGAATGAAGGGGGATTGTGTTAGAGGCGAACAAGCAAAAACCTCTAAATTATGTGAGCACATAATTAGAATTACCAGTTACCCTTCTATTCGTAGGAGGGTGGAGTTACATTCCCTATTAGTTTTCGCTATTCAGATTTTTTAATGAAGATTTGCTGCTAATTGAAATTTCACGTAGCCTTTTGGTGTGACAACTTACATCTATTCTCCTCATGGTCCCACGTGTATTTTATGAAATTGTAAGCCATGGGACACAGGATCTGTCACTCTTATTTGCTTATAAATAGCCAAAGCAGCTACAGCACTGTGAAAATCATCATTTGCTTTTGAGCTCCTTTGGACTCAAAGGATGTTGGCACTGTGTTTCCCTGTACTGGTCTAGAGGTACAACAGGCTTTGGCAGCATCCTTTGTATCAGCCAGGCTTGCTTAAGCTCCATGAAATTGCCCAAATCTGGTCCAGTGATGGTGCTGGTGGAAGTTGCCAAGCGAGCAGGGACGTGTGTCTGTGGAGCACTGGGAGCAGGGAGGCTGCAGGGTCTCAGCTGCTCAGGATGCTCTCAGCCCAGGGCTTGCTGCTTGTTTTCAGTCTCAGGCTGCTGAGAGTTTTCACTGTTTTGTTTGCCTGCTTTCTGTGGTCTTAATTGGACTGTAAGAACCAATGTTCTCAAACTAAATGTTTTAAAGCTATTTTGACATATTGAAAACTTAAGCTACAGTGATGGTGTTTGTCTGGTAGCATAGATACATGTAAACAGACTTTATGGATTTCACAAAGACAGGACCCTTTATTAGAAGCAGAAGCTCCTGCAGGATCCTGGGAAGGACTGATCAGCACCCTGATTTACCTTGTTAAATAGGACTGGTGTATCCGTGAGCTGTCACAAATGCACGCTCTCAGACAGGCACGGCAACAGGCAGCCAAGAAACCATGTATGGGCATCAACCATGCCAGGGGGCAGGGATGACAGTGAGGAATGTAACCTCCTGAAGTTGCCTGGTTAAGGCAGAATGCCACCTGGCACAAATCGTGGCTGCCATAAGGTTAAAAATAACAAACAGCATCCCTATTACGTAAGGAAATCTTTTGTCCTTGTGTAATGGGGCACTATGGTAGGCTGGAAAGAATAATTGTGGAGCTTCTCTGAAGTCCTACTTATGGTAAGTGCTCAGGGCCAAACCAGCTGGAAATACCAGGGCTGATTGTAAGCCAGGCCCTGTGTATGAACTGCTGGCATTAAACAGGTGAAATCTGAGTGAAATTCCAGTGTCTAAGTGTGCTCAGCAGCAGCCTCAAACCAGTCCACTGGCAACATCCCAGCACCAGGAAGGCCTTAAGGTCCCTTTTTATGATGATTGCATTACTATAACATAAATACAGAGGATCTGTGTGTTCAGAGCAGCCTGTGGACCCTCTGGAGGCTGCAGCCCATGAACCACTTTCTGCTGCTTATTGCAATGAGATGGATAATGGAGCAGCTGTGGAAGTTATTGTGGATGAACTTCAAACTCACCCCAGAAGTGGGATCATTTTCACCCCACCTCACCTGCCTACAGGTCACCTCCAGGCCCATGAAGAAAACACCTGCTTTGGTTTCAGTTAAAGAATTAACCTGAAGTGATAGTAATGCTCTTTCCTTTATGTCCTGCTACCTTCTCCTCCTCCTGATCCCTCAGCATGAGATACTGTCTGGGATGAACCTGCAGCCTGAGTCCAAGCCAAGTCCTCCCATTTCAGTGGCAGCTTTGAGGACTTCAAAGGC